CGACACTGAGGGTTGCGATCCATTGCCGGACATGAAAAAAGACAAAAAAAAAAAAAAGATGTTACTGTGTATATACGGAGAAACCAGAAGAGGTTGCTGGAGGAGAAAGTACGAGGCAGAGGCAGGAAGTATTGGAGATGAGGCTAGAAAAGTAGGCAGGGGCCTGCCAAGTAACCTGGATTATGAATTATAGCGACTGGACAACTATGAGACAGGAGGCTGACATGGGCAGAGGTGGAGGCGGAAACTGAGTCTCCTCTTACTAGGAGGGTTGGGTTTCCCTGAAGGGCTGGAGATTTGGGGAAAATGTATATACCATTTTCTTTTGTTGTTGTATCAGTGGTGGTTGGTGTTAGCTACACATAATTAATCCATTTCCAATTCTGGTTCTGAAAATTTTTGCTCGAAGATGCCAAAATGAAGGAAAATGCACCTCTAATGAGAACAGACATGTGTGATCAAGGTCAATTTCTTGTTTCACTGTGAACCCCACTGACCCAGAGAAAGGGCAGCAAAGTGAATTTAATCCGAATTATTTAACCAACATTTGTTGACTACTTACTATGTACCAGGGACCATGCAAGACTCTGGGAAGACAAAAAACAGTCCTTGCACTGAAGAAGCTCAGAGTCTAAAAAGGGAGAAAGAGAAGTCCATATAATTGCAGTGGTGCAGTGCAAGCAATAAAAGATACAGAAGTCCCGATGGACAAGGAAGGAGCTGTCAAATGTTTAGGTGTTAGCAGGGGCAGGGGGACAGTAATCTGGCAGCATCAAGAGAAGAAGCCATATGCAGCCTGGGCCTTGAGCAAGAGCAGGAGCTTTCCTGGCATTAGATTAGACAAAGAAGCATCTTCTAGGCTGAGCCGTGGTGCAAGGCAAGGAAGTGTGAAAATGCACTGCTTGTTTGCGGAGCTATAAGAAGCTCAAAACTGCTAGAGCATAAAGGGCATGGGAGACTCCAGTGAAAAATGAGCTTGAAGAGGAAAAAAAGTAACAAATCTTGGAAGGTATACAGCAACATTTTAAGGAATGAGGACTGTTCTGTGGCCTGGGCTTTTCACCCTGGTGATCATATACATGGTGGAGGCAAGGAAGCAAAGTAGGATTCACAGCCAACCGAGTACCAGTGGGTGCAAGAAGATTCACAGTCTATCATCTGGGGTATGAATCTTATTAAAAGATTTTAAAGAAATAAACGAATGCTAAATTAAGGACAGATATAAGACGGAGTAAACTTATCATTGATTTTGATGAAAATACAAGGGTACTTCAAAAATGTCATGGAAAAATAGAATTAAAAGATAATAGCAAACTTTCTGATGCCAGAGGAAGGGTCTCAGGGGCCCAGTAGTTGGCCTCAACCCACTCTGTCCTCTTACCAGTTCTTGACTCTGCCACAGGAAAGAATTCAGGAGCAGAGTCACAGTACAAAGTGAGAACAAGTTTAATATGATGAATAAGGGACACAGATTTCACAGAAACAGTGCAGCATGGCTCCAGAGACTGAGCAGGGCCCAGACCAAGTTTAATACAAAAAGTAAGAAATACACACTTAAAGTTCAGTACAACGTGCAGACTGGTTCAGAGAGTGAGTAGCCACTTGCTGAAAGTAAGTTTGATACAAAAAGAAAGACACACACTGCACAGGCAGAGCGTGGGCTGGCTCTAGGAGAGAGCAACGGCCCCACCTTCTGCTGGGATTCGGCTTTAATAGTTTCTCTGTCTAATTAACGTTCAGTTAAGGGGGTGGTTCACAGTTATGTAACATAGTCTTGCACATGCTCGGTTGACCTCTTCTTGGAACATGTTCATTAGTCAAATTCTATCACATGCACCGAACAGGTTCAAGAATATTCTGTGCTCCTTAGCTTCCCAAATGGAAGGTCATTCAGCTACTAGGGTTATATAACCCCTCTTTACTGAGCATGCCCAGCCACTGGGTTTGCATAAGCCAGCCCTGTGGGATCTCATTTTCCCTGTTTTGGTACCAAAAGTAGGTCTAACTAGCAACAGTAACTTTCCTCTAGGAGAAGGCCTAGAGGAGGGCCCTGAGACTTGGGAGTGTCTTGAAACCCACAGGTGTGTCCTGAAACCCAAATCCAGGGAAACTGAGCACCTCTTATCTCATTTCCATGAATTTTTTGAAGTACCCTTGTATTAAACAGTCATAAACCACCTGATGGATGTTATGCACTGTGCTGAATGTTTTCCCTGGATTACCTTGGAGGCAGGTAATCAAACCTATGAGGCAGGTTCTTTATGTTTCCATTTTACAGAATCAAGTGACTAAGGCTCAAAGAAGTAAAATAATCTACCCAGAACCATCAGTAGGTGGTGCATCTGCGGTTCAAACCCAGGCCAACTAGGGCCAGGGCTGGATCTTACCCACTAAACCATGCCACGCCCATTTTAGGGGATAGAGGACAAGACATCAGAGAGGTGTTGCTGCTCCTGAAGGACAACTTGAAGGGTCAGATTCAAGTATGGGCTTGACTTGAATGTACCTTGGGCAGATCACCTCTCTGAGTCTCCATTTCCTATCAGAACTGAAAGATAAACAATCCATGTGAAGTTTCTAAACACAGAGGCTGGCTCAAAATAAGTACTCACCAAACATGAGCTCTCAGTGACTCCCAGTCTACCCACTTCTCCCTGCCACCCCCTGCCAACTGCATCAGTACCTACTACTAAAGGGACCCTCCTTAGAAAAGTTTGAGAAATATTGCTAGTAGAAACCATTCTACTCACCTTGGAATGAGAAAACTGTTTCTGACCCCAACCTGAGGAAAGCCACTTAACCAGCTAGGTTATAGTTTGGTTTTTTTTTTTTATTTTATTTTTTTTCCACATTCTAGCCTTTTTTAAAAAAATTTTAACATGCATTTGTACATATTTGTGGGGTACAATGTGTTATTTCAATAGGTGCATTGATTCTTTTAGGGTAGATAGCAT